AAGACAGGAAGGAGGATCATTAGTTCAAGGCCAGTCTAGATTACATAGTGAATTCAAGGTTACCTTGAGATAGTCAGAGGTTGTATCAAAAACAAAACAAAACAAAACCAAGCAAAAAGGAAAATAACAACTAAGCATGAAACACTAACTTTAAAAAAAGAATTTCTCTTGGCTTAAATAAGAACAGTAGCTGTGATTATGGAAACCAAATCTTAGGTTAGTGAGACTTTTGGTTTATACCTAGAATAATATTTTACCTACTTCTGTTATCCTCTAGGTTAATCATGCTAGAGTAGAAATAATTAATTTATTTTACTACATAGTAGAAAGCTCAGTTTTACTGAGTCATTACATATCACCAGCACTGATTTCTGCAGTACAAAAACGCCTTTAAATGCTGTAAAACATTGAAAACATTGATTAGCTCTGTCTATAGTTTCTAACGCCTGCTGTTGAGCAGTAGCATCTTTTCACTGTTAAATGGTGAATGTGGAACGACAAGGTTACATGTGAAGATAAATTCTTTTCCTTTAAAATTATTTTTTATACTTGTATATGTATATGTTTGTTTGTATGCATGTGCAGATTCTCTTGTGCTGTGGTCAGAGAGTTGTTCTCAGGAATCAGTTCTTTGCTTCCACCATGTAGGTCTTGAAGATCAACTATAGGTTGTCAGGCCTACACAACTGTCTCTGAATCATCTTGTTGGCTCCATCACTCCCCCCTTTTTCTTAGTAAATTATAAGCAGAGTTAGGCATTTTCTTGTTATAATTAGTAAAGTTGATACATTTATAGACTTGTTATGTTACTAGAAATTGTATCATGCTTTCAACAACCAGGTATACATAGAAATAACTTGGGGCTAGGGATGTAGCTTCATGGTATGATGTTGTCTAGCATAGATGAAGGCTCTGAGTTTAACACTCATCTCTGAAAACAAAATTAAAATAAAAGAAGCCCATGCACAAAAAGTTTAAGCTAAAATTAAAAAGTAGATTAGTCAAATGCTAGGAAAGTTCCAGTGGTAGAGATGATTCTAAGAATCCTACTTTAATGTTCCCTTGTCCTTACCCTCACCCATTCAACCCAGTTTCCTGAGTGCTGAGTGGACTGTATAGCTCAGTATGTGAAACTGATAACCATGTTAGGTGCAAAATAGAATACAACCTTATGAAGAAATAGAAATTTCTCACTGAGTATGCAGGCAAAAAATAAAGAACATAGTTTTAAAGTTAACAAAGTTTTAGAAAAATTACACCTTGGTGACTAGTCTTTTTGACAAAAGTAACACTTTTGTAATCCTTAAAATATTTTGCTAAGAACCTTAAGGTGGATTTTGTACAGATAAGATATGATACAGGTATTTTTTGTGATTATTAAAGATCTATACTGACACATTTCTAAATTACAATTTGTTTTGGCATAGAGATAGCCTAGTTAAAAAGTTTTGTTGTGATGGAAGCTCTTGAGACCAGAGAGGAATAAGGACTAAGAGAACTTGTGAGAAGCATGCCTGACAGCTTTTTGGGGTGTCAGGAAGTGGTAGTACTGTTGGGGCATTTCCAGGAAAGGTTAGGCTAGATTTAGATACCTTCAATTAACCCCTTGTGTGCTGAATTTCCTTTAAGAGTTTGTTTTAGCAGGCTCTGCTTCTTAAAACTCTACCACTTGGAGGTACATTTGTATTTTAACAAAAAGAATATCTTCCTCGTCTTTCTAGAGCAGTGATTCTCAACTTTCCTAATGCTGCAAACCTTTAATACCCCAACCATAAAATTATTTTGTTGCTACTTCATAACTGTAATATTGATATTGTTGTGAATATTTACTGTTGTAAATATCTGATATGTTACCCCCAAAGGGGTCATGACTCTCAGGTTGAGAGTTCTAGAGTTCGTCCCCTGCCCAACCCTTTCTTGTATCTACTTTGAGATATTGGTATTAAGGAAGGCAAACATTTTTTCCTTTTTTAAAATTTAAATTAGAAACAATCTTATTTTATATATCAATCCCTGTTCCTTCTCCCTCCTATTCTCCCATGCCCCCCACCGGCCCCCATTCCATCCCTCTTCTGATCCATAGAAAGGGTGAGGCCTTCAATGGGGAAATCATCAAAGTCTGTCATATCATTTGGGACAGGGCCTAGGCCCTCCCCCTTGTGTCTAGGCTGAGAGAGTATCCCTCTCTATGGGGAATGGGTTCCCAGTGTCCATCGGTACACTAGATATAAATGCTGTTCCATTACCAGGGGCCCCATAGACTGCCCAGGCCTCCTGACACCCACGTGCAGGGGGGAAGGCAGGCATTTTTGGATGGGTTGAAATGGAATTCTGCAAATTTTTTAGTATAAAGCAGTTAGAGGAGGAGGAAGAATAAGGAAATCATTCATTGATCTTACAGATATTTGAATGGCAGGTATTGTGCTTGGTTTGGGAGATGAACATGGTAACCTTGGTCTTTACATTGTTGAGCTGTTGAGCTTACTGTTTGGTTTGGAAGTTTGGCAAATGTGATTAGCATTAAGATAAGAAAAGAGCAGATACTACAGTATGGAGCATTGTTCAGTTAAGGAGCTTACTTAGAAACTTGAAATCCCTTGACCTTGTATCATCTCCATGTTGTTGTGTGCTCTTGGTTAATCCCATGATATTTCTGATAGTAGATGTTGGCTGCTAGTAGTAGGTATTTTCTTTAATTAAGCCCGTGTGTTGGTTTGAGGCATGGCTCAACAACAATATCAAGGACTAACAGAGTATTATTATAATATAGGCATCACAGAGACTAGAAGAGTTTGATGTTTTATCTGCCCAAATATGAAAAATTTCAGTCAAATGAATTTGACAAGTTGGAGGAAACAAAGGGTATGTTATGTGCTCACGAAATCCAGAGCTTACTTTTAATTTTTTGTAAGATCAAATTTGTATTTAGGCGTGGTGGTGCTCGCCTTTAATCCCAGCACTCAGGAGGCAGAGGTAGGCAGATCTCTGTGAGTTCGAGGCCAGCCTGGTCTCTAGAGCGAGTGCCAGGATAGGCTCCAAAGCTACACAGAGAAACCCTGTCTCGAAAAAAAAAAACCAAAAAAAAAAAAAAGTCATTCATATATTGCACTAAGTATACTCAAATCTTCAGACTTGATATTTAAAATCAGAATGATTTTTTTAGGAGTTAAATTTAGTAAGGAAAAATAGTTTTAAACACCATTAGATGATCTATTTACATAATACTGAATCATCTTTTCTTAAAGGTAGGTGATATTATAGTCGTCTTACAGTCCTGAGGGATTAGTATGTTTAGGGTTATAAAGTTACAACTTGAATCTTGTTCTCATTTCAGAAGGCACTGGAGGTTTGCCTTTGGTAACTTGCAGTTTCTTACTATTCGTTCCCCATTTTTCCAATGGGTTATATATACTGAGTGGACAGTGATCTTTAGAACTCAGCCATGCCTTATTTGGTGAGACTTTGGGAAGAAATTACTTTTTTTTTTTTTACATTTATAAACATAAATTGTATTTCTTTTTTTCTTTTATTTTCTCCCTTTTTTATTTAAATTAGAAACAAGATTGTTAAGAAATTACTCTTCTAAGTCCAAGTTTTTTTTTTTTTTTAACTCCGGAAAATGGCAATAGTGGTAATACTTTCTCTTATAGTAGTGAAATTTGTTTTCTTTTAATGATTTATTTAATTTTTTTTTAAAGACAGAATCTCACTATGTAGCTATACTTGCTCTGTAATTCCCTATTTAGACCAGGCTGGTATCAAACAGAGATCTATCTGTTTCTGCCTCCTGAGGGCTGGGATTAAAGACCTGTGCCATCATGCTTAGCCAGATTTCTTGTGTGTGTGTATGAGTGTTTTCCTGTGCACGTGTGTGTGTAAGCCTGGTGCTTGGGGAGACCAGAAAAGGGTGTTGGGTCCTCTAGAATACACAGTTGTGAACCAACTTGTGGGCTCTGGGACCCAAACCCAGGCCCCCTGTAAGATCTGCAAGTATGAATAACCCTTAAAGGAGCTCTGCAGCCCCTGTTGTGAAATTTTTAGAGGGAGATTTAATAGATTCCCATAATCTTTGGTACTTAAAAAGGTTTTTTTTTTTTTTTTTTTTTTTTTTTTTGGAGGGGGGCCTTGCAGTGTTTCGAGGCAGGGTTTCTCTGTGGCTTTTGAGGTTGTCCTGGAACTAGCTCCTGGAGACCAGGATGGTCTCGAACTCACAGAGATCCTCCTGCTTCTGCCTCCTGAGTGCTGGGATTAAAGGCGTGCACGTGCCACCGCACCACCACCACCACCACCACCGCCTGGCCATTACTTAGAAAGTTTTAAATAAGTGATAGTGAGTGTTATTTCACATGCTCACTACTTTTTTCAATCCTCTGGCTACTCAGTATCATTTAATTCAGATTATTATGGAGGCTTGCCTCTTTTTGGGGCTTTATTCTTTAAGATTCCCTTTTCTTTTTTTTTTTTTCACTATATAAACTCAGGCTCTGATTTTTTTTCACTATATCAATTTTCTTGGATCATCTCATGTCCTCAAATATTACTTTTAATTTTATTCTCTCTCTCTCTCTCTCTCTCTCTCTCTCTCTCTCTCTCTCTCTCTCTCTCTCTGTTTATTTGAGACAGG